GACGAAAAAGCTGATGATGTTATTATAGTGGGCCATCTCGCTCTTTTCTCTCTCTCGTCTGCTCTCGGTCTCTCTGTCTCTTTCTTTCTTTCTCTTTCTCGCTCGCTCGTTCTCTCTCTTTCTCTCGGTCTGTCTCTCGTCTCTTTCTCTCTCTCTCTTTTCTCTTTCTTTCTTTCTTTTTTCTTCTCTCTTTCTTTCTCTCTCTCTCTCTCTCTCTCTCTCTCTCTCTTCTCTCTCTCTCTCTCTCTCTCTCTCTCTCTCTCTCTCTCTCTCTCTCTCTCTCTCTCTCTCTCTCTCCTCTCTTCTCTCTTTCTTTCTTTCTCTCTTTCTCTTTTCTCGCGCTCGCTCTCTCTCTCTGTCTCTCTCTCTTCCCTCCTCTCTCACCCTCTCTCTCTCTCTCTCTCTCTCTCTCTCTCTCTCTCTCTCTCTCTCTCTCTCTCTCTCTCTCTCTCTCTCTCTCTCTCTCTCTCTCTCTCTCTGCATATATATATATATATATATATATATATATATATATATATATATATATATATATATATTATGTATATTTGTATATACAGAGATAGAGAGGCGAAAGAGAACAGGAGAGAAAGAGAGAAAGGAGAAAAAATATAGATTGGGAGATTTACGCCACGCCCCATATGTTATCTTATCTAAATTGATCAGATCTGTTTTATTCGGATAACGCGAGAACAATTCCCGTGGACGGACAAATACATTCTCAGATAATGGCTTCGCAGCTCGCAATAAAACGGTGCTTTTCTTGGCATTTTGTTTTATCAGTTTCTCAAGGTCAGGGGAATCACTCATGCCCCGTTTAACACAGTTGCGCGCAGATTCGGTCGACTTTATCAGACATGCTATTCCGGAATTTCGTTGTCAAAGCCGTAAAAAAAGAGAAAGTTTTTTAATCAAAGCGACCATTTCCGAGGAGTTCGTTGGGTTTTTTTCTTTTCTTTCGAAAGGCTTACTCTCTCTTGGCGAAATGGGGGGTTTCTTTCTTTCTTTCTCTTCGTTTATTTATATTCAAAGCGTCTCCTCTTCCTCGGGTTTTATTTGGAAAGTGCGCCATTTCTCATCGCCCGGACCGCGTTTCACATCCAGCACATGTTGCTCCACACCCGCGCACCTTCGCGAGATTCGGTATTTTAGTTTTATTTTTTTAACAGGAAATAAACAACGGAAAAAGAAGAAAAAAATATAAAGAATCTACCACCAGTATTTCCTTTTGAAAATCACCCATCTTTGAAAGCCTCTTTTATTTACTTTTACTCTCGTTTCCCCCACGTAAACAGAGCACAAGAAGCGGCCCTCGAAGACCATACCTCCCGACGGCACGACCTTCAACATGATGGAGCTCGGAGACCGCCTGGAGGAGGAGATCCCGCCCTACGGCTACTGGAACATGCAATTCTACCAGTCGGAGTCGGCCTACGTCAAGTTCGAGGTGACCATCCCGAGGGGCTCCTCCATCGGGATCTACGGCAGGAGGAACGCCCTGCCCACGCACACCTCCTACGACTTCCTGCAGGTCCTCTCGGGCTACAAGACGACCAACAGCGGCGCCAACAGCAGGACGACCAGGACCTCCAAGGTATCTGTAAGGACTTCGTCAGTTTCGTTGACTAGGCTTAGGGCTTGAGGACGAGAGAGTCAGAGAGAGAGATTGAGTTGAGAGTGAGAATGAGAGTGAGATTAAGGGTGAGGATAAAAGTGAGTGTGGGAGTGAAAGTGAGGCCGAGATTAAGAGTGAGAGAGAGAGAGAGTGAAAGTGAGTTTAAGGGTGAGAGTGAAAGTGAGTTTAAGGGTGAGAGTGAGAGTGAGTTTAAGGGTGAGAGTGAGTTTTGAGAGTGAGAGTGAGTTTAAGGGTAAGAGTGAAAGTAAGAGAGAGATTGAGAGTGAAAGTGAGAGTGAGAGCAAGGGTGGGAGTTAGGATGAGAGAAAGAAAGAGGCATACAAACAGGGGCTGGAAATAGAGAGAACAGAACATAAAAAACGGAAATGGACAGAAAAATCACGTGACCTTTAGCTAGTGCTTTGGCAAGGCGTGGCGGAGCGGAAGGTCAAGACGTCACACTATCTTATCCCCGCCTTCGTGCCCTTTTATTTCTTCTTCGCCTCTCTGCCTTTTTCTTTCTCTTTCTCACTTTCTTTTTGTCTCTCTGTCTCTTTGTCTCTGTTCTTTCTTTCTCGCTTTCTTGATTTCTCTCTGTCTCTCTCTCTCTTGCCCTGTTTCTTTCTTTCTTTCTCGATTTCTCTCTATCTCTCTTTCTCGCTTTTTCTCTGTCTCGCTCTCTTTGCCTCTGTCTCTTTCTTTCTCGCTTTCTCGCTTTCTCTCTGTCGTTCTATCTTTCTCCCCCTGCTTCCTCTTCCTCCCTCCCTCTCTCCCTCCTTCCTCTATTCCCCTCCTTCCCTCCTCCTCCCCACCTCTTTCCCTCCCCTTCCCCCTTGCTCTCCTCCCCTTATTTCCTTTTTCCCACCTCTACCTCTTTCTCTCCCCTCCGTTCCCTCCCTTCCCTCCCTCCCTCCCCTCTTCTTTTCCCTCCCCCCCTCCTTCGTTCCCTCCCTCCCTCTCTTGGTTCCCTCCCTCCCCTCCCTCATTCCTTCTCTCCTCCCCTCCTTCGTTCCCTTTCCCTCCTTCGTTCCTCCTCCCCTCCTTCCTTCCCTCCCTCCTTCCCTCCTTCCCTTCCCCTCCCTCCCCTCCTTCCCTGCCCTCCTCCGTTCCCCTCAGAAGGCTCTGATTATAGATGCAAATTTGGGTATTCAAGTGTTACTGCGCAGAGAGTCAACCGAAGACTCTCTCGTTCTCTGTGCGACCCATGGCTTGGAGAGGGAGGGAGGGAGGGAGGGAGGGGAGGAGGAGGGAGGGAGGGAGGGAGGGAGGAGGAGGAGGAGGAGGAGGAGGAGGAGGAGGAGGAGGAGGAGGAGGAGGGAGGGAGGAGGGAGGGAGGGAGGAGGGAGGGAAGGGGAGGGAGGAGGAGGAGGAGGAGGAGAGAGGAGGAGAGGAGGAGGAGGAGGAGGAGGAGAGGGAGGAGGAGAGGGAGGAGAGGAAGAGAGAAGAGGAAGAGGAAGAGGAAGAAGAAGGAAGAAGAAGAAAGAAAGAAGAAGAAGAAGAAGAAGAAGAAGAAGAAGAAGAAGAAGAAGAAGAAGAAGAAGAAGAAGAAGAAGAAGGAAGAAGGAAGAGGAAGAGGAAGAGGAGAGAAAGGAGGAGGGGAGAGGGAGAGGAGGAGGAGGAGGTGAGTGGGAGAGAGAGAGAGAGAGAGAGGGAGAGGAGAGGAGAGGAGGAAGATACAGAGAGAGGAGAGAAGAAGAGAGAGAGAAATAAATTGCATAAATCTTCCTGAAATCATCTCATTCTCCCACCCCCTCTCCTCATTCGTCTGAATCGTGTCACATAAATTATTTTCCCTCCCCCCCCCCCCAAAAAAAAAAAAAAAAAAATCAGAACTTTTTTCATGATTACAAACACGACTTCTCCCTCTCTTCACCCCCCCCCTTTCTCCCCTCTCTCTCCTTCTCTTCTTCCTCCTCTCTCTCTCTCTCCCATTTATCCACCTCTTCCTTTCCCCTTCTTCCTCACACCTTCTCCTCCCCTCTCTCCTGTGTTCTTTGCTCCTCCTACTCCTCCTTTCCTCCTCCTTCTTCTTCTTCCCCCCTCTCCTCCTCCTCCTCCTCCTCTCCTCCTCCTCCTCCTCCTCCTCCTCCTCCTCCTCCTCCTCCTTCCTCCTTCTCCCCTCTCCTCCTCTCCTCTCCTCTTCCTCTCCTCCCTCCCTCCTCCATCCTCCTCCTCCTCCTCCTCCTCCTCCTCCTCCTCCTCCCCTTCCCCCCACCCTATCCCTCCCTCCCCCCTCCTCCTATTCCCACCATTCCAGCGACGATGAATATCAAACATTCCATTTATTTTAATCAGGAATCGCAGTGTTGCCAACGCAGTCTCATGTTTTCCAATCATGGCAATATTACTGTATCTCGTGGATCAGCAGTTTGAATTTTGCATGGCTGGGGGGTGGTGTTGTTGCTGCTGTGTTGTTTGTTTGCTGCTGTTGTTGTTTTGTTGTGTTGTTGTGTTTGCTTGTTGTTTTGTGTTGTTGCTGTGGTTGTTTGCTGCTGTTGTTGTTTTGTGTGCTGCTGTTGTTTTATTGTTGTTGCTGCGTGTTGTTTGTTGTTGCTTGTGTGTTGTTTTTGGTGTTGCTGCTGCTGCTGTTTTTTGCTGTGTTTGTTGTTGTTGCTGCTGTTGTTGTTTTGTTGTTGTGTTGTTGTTTTGGTGTTGCTGCTGTTGTTGTTTTGTTGATACTATTTTATAAAGGGGAGGAAGGGGAGGAGGAGGAGGAGGAGAGGAGGAGGAGGGGAGAGGAGGAGGAGGAGGAGGAGGAGGGGGGGAGGGGGAGGGGAAGGAGGAGGAGGAGGGAGGGTGACAATGACAATGTGATGATTATAGGGATGTTAATACTGAATGATGATGATCGTAAGAGTAAGATGTATAATAATGGTATAATGAATGATAATAATAGGATAATGATAATAGTGATGATAATAGGATAATGATAATGATAATAATAATAATAATAATATGTAATATATAATGATAATAATAATAATAATAAGACAATAATGAACTGCTAACAAAATGTAATAATAACAATAATAGTAATTTACAATAATAATGATAGTGATGCTAATGATAATAAACAACAATAACATAGGAATAACAATAACAACAACATCAGTAATAAATGATATTCATAATGATAATAATGATAATGATAATTAATATTAATATTTAGTAATAGTATTAATAATAATAATATAAAGATAATTTTAGTATAACAATAATAATTAATTAATGATATATGATAATAATGATAAGAAAAGAATAATAATAATATGTAGTAATTAATAATAATAGATGAATGAGAATAATAACAAATTAGAAGAGAGAGAGAGGAGAGAGAGAGAAAGAAGAAGAGAGAAGAGAGAGAGAGAGAGATGAGAGAGAGAGA